TGGGGGAGCAGCAGGAGAACAAAAAAAACATTAAGTGTAGTATTACAAAGCATGTCACTGGAGTGAGATCTTAAGAAGCAGTGCTGAGCTTGGAAACTCCACAGACAACAGCACAATGCAGGACAGGAGGCTGCGTTAGCATAAAGTTCAAAAGCCATAGTGGTGAGCAGCCTGCATCCAAGATTCAAACACTGTTAGTCTCTTTAAAGGGCCAACATTCATTCAGATTAACACGGTTAACTAGTGCAGGGGTCTTAGTTTTCCAACAAAGACAATGCAGGAGTAATAAGCACCATGCCGGCCTGCTTGCAGTCACTGGAGGCCATATGCTGGCCAGACACAGCAGCTCAGTTACAGCCCAGTGACAGCGTAAACACAGAGGGCAAGAAGAGATGCTCCATTGTTCTCCTGAGGCCGAGGGGCTGACTGGGGATCACGACACCTTGTCCCTCTGAGTCATCATTTCTGAGGCCGCTGAATGGGCACTGATGGTCAGCTCAGGCCATTTGCAGGATGTGGTTACAGCTTGTCACCCTCAAGTGCCCACCATTCACAAAAGATCTGGGGGACTGAAGGGGCAAAACAACACAGAGGTGCTGTGTTCGGCACCACAGTAACACTTCATGTCTGTCAACATGTGGGCTGCTGTAGATTATGTTTATTCTGCGGCTGAGGACACAAACAGTCCTACAGTGTAGTTTCTCTGTGAGTGCAACAGAGCAAATGATTAAACTGTATTTAGGCTGAATGCACTCTTCCAACACAGCTGTATTTTTACTCATTAATTGCAATTACTGGCATCTCACTCTCTGGTTAAATAGACAAATAAAGTGTGCATTTACAGCTAAAGCATCAAAATTAAAGGCACACATAATGCAGAATGGTCTCTATTACATTAAATTACACTGTTATAGAAATACTAATGATGCATTTACATGTAAGAAGCAATTAATTGTTATACTTGCTTGATGTGGAGCCACACTTAACTAGATTCTACACTACCGGGCAACTTAATCTGAATACATTATATTTTATGTATGTTTTGCATTGAACATTTTGATCTAATAGGTAACTAGTAGCTCTGGTGGACAATTAAATGTAGGAAAGGAAAGCGGCAATATTTCCATCTGATCGAAGGTGGAGTAAAATCACAAAAGAGCAGAAAGTGGAAGAAAAACTGCAAATGCCTCATGACCGTAGTTAAGTACACAACTTGAGTGTGCTCAGTGACTGAATATGATAGAACATTTATCACAATGATGTTTCTTGTAGGTGTTTTGGTATTTGATGATTATACATGATGGAAATGGCCTATTTAGTTTGAAAACTCTGAAGTTAGCTTGAGATTCTGCAGTTAAGGGGAACGTTAAGGGTAACTTAAGTTGCATTGAAGACATTAGACCAGATTCGGATGTAAACCCACTCTTTACAAAGTGGTTAGATCTGAGCTATATTGTTCTAAAGAGGCTCAATACTCTTTAAAGCCCAGTATGTGTTTTGTGATGCTTTTGTGATATTTGTGTAAATGCAAAATAAGGAGATCTCACTGCTTTCTTTTTGCATGTAAATCACATTAGATCAGGTCCTGGTCAGAACCAACAATATATAGACTGGTCAGATCTGGATTAATAGAATACAGGTTTTACAAATCAGAAACTGTTTTTAAAAGATTCTTTAGCGTCGTCTAGATCTGACCAGTCTATACATGGTGGTTTTTGATCTGGACTTGGTCTTATGTAGGCTGCATGCAAAGAAAAGCAGGGGCATCTTACTTTTTTGCATTTTCACAAATAGAATAAAGGCTTTGCATATTAGAAACTGCGCTTTAGCTTCTCTGTTGTAATCTAACCCAGATCTGACCACTCTAAATATTGCTGATTGAGATCTGGACTTGATCTAATGTGGTCTGCATGCAAAACAGCAATGAAAGTCTATAGCTTCATTTTTTTTTTTTTTTACAAATAGAATAAAAGTTGCACAACTCACAAACTGTGTTTTAAAGACTCTTTAGCTTTTCTGTCATATTCTAATCCAAATTTGACCACTCTAAATATTGTAGATTTAGATCTGGACCTGATCTGCTGTGGTCTGCATGCAAAAAAGCATTAAATTATCCCTGTTCAGCCGTTCTAGAAAATGCAACTAAAGTTTTACGAAATTTAAAGTGGGTTCCATGCGGTATTTAGGGTTTGCCTACGATTTCTAAAACGGTTTTGCATCATATCACTGTGTTTAAAAAAAAAGCAGAGACTCGCTTAGTTGGGTTTCCCATTAACTTTCCCCTTAACTGCAGAATCTGAAGCTAACTTCAGCGTCGTTTCAGTTTAGCTAACTATTCTGTAACATTTCCTCAAAGTTTAACGACTTAAAACAACATCTATCCTACTTCAACTGTTTGTACCAACGTTTCTGCTTCTTCCCTGTCTGTTGTATTACACTGTTAACCTACAGAAACTGGTTTGTACCGACCTTGTAGTGAGCTCAGCTCCTCTACAGCATCTTCTCTGAGGCAGCAGTTCAGACTTTCTCTGGTCAGATGTGAGAGCAGCGCTTTGGACATCTGTTTAGGAGCGGCTCCACTTTCTCCATCCAAGGGGAGGAGCCTTGTTGGATTTTGCTGTAATATTTATTTGAAAACAAATTCTCTTTTCTAGTTTTAGTTATATGTACTTGATAATGTATTTATGTCATATAGTCGACCAAAATATATTTGTTTTGATATTACCGGGAAAGGTATTTTTTTGGGTCACAGACTCCACCCCCAGACTCTGTTTAAATGGTTTGTTCCGACGCTACAGAGTTTCCAGACACGCTCTGCGTATTGACACAGCACGCGACCCACTGAGGGGCTTTTAAATTGAAGAGAGGCACAAAAGAAGAATAGCTGGAGGCAGAGACAAGTTTTAGTTAAGGAGGAAAAAAAAAAAAAAAACACAGGACAGCTGGCAAGTAAGTGTTAGTGAACAAGACCACACTCACCTTCCACTGCCATGATGGTAGAAAAACACTGTGACCAAGATGTGATAAGCAGGCCAATGTAAAGTACATTAAATTAAAACATAACTACATTGGAGAGACAAATGCACTTTTGATTTCATGTTAGTTTTACATTAGAAGACTTTCTTCCATGAGTGGCCATGTTTAACCTGCTTTTGTAGGAGGATTTGACATTTAACTAGTTTATTTTTTGGATTATTTTAAATTTTTGATAATTTTTTGGATTATTTTTTAATTTTGATTACTTTGTTTGTACAGTACTAGTGGAGTGATGAAAATTAACTACTATATCTGTTTAAATACTGTACAAATGTGATGTGTTTCATTTTTTTTTCTATTTTATGTAATGTCATACTCCTACTCCACTTCATTTATCTGACAGCTGTAGTTACTAATACTCAGATTTTATATATGTATATATAAAACATGAGATGAGTTTGTAAAATGTTGACCAGCGATCAATCTGTGCTACAGTGTTAATATAGGATTAAGAAAATCTAACATATGAGGCGTTAAAATGCTTCTTATGTGGTACTGCATCAGTAATAATAATCCAATTATATTATATTACTACCACACAGAAACTATAACTTTATAAGCTATTTTATAGGTACTTATATAAGGATATTGAAAATGCCTCCATTTTTGGAAATTCTGAATAATTCTTCCATCTTGACTATGTGTTGCACTTGCAGACTGTATTTGTGAAAGACACTCTGCTAAAATACATTAAATGTAATTCTGAAACAACAAACAGGCTACTTTTATTTTCCTTCAGCCGGTGGCTTCCGTGACTTTCCCAAATGGCTCCAGTCCCTTTACCAGACCCTTGGGTATTCCTAGCCTATATAACCTGAAAAGCCTCCTCCAGATGGCCTGTGCTTTCTCCTCTCGTCCCGTGATGGAATGAAAAGATCAGCTAATTAAACAAAGTCCCATATCCATGTGAAAGAACCGTGAGAGTCCTCAGGGGGAAGAGCGGCATGCAAATCAACCCCACAATGCTTTGAATTGTGTCCAGCACACCAACACATCACTGCAAACCATAAAGCCTTTATTTCCACATGCACACAGACACACTGAGAATCGAGAGTCATGACAGAAACAGATAAACAAACATGTACATTTGTAATGCCGGGGGATTTTTTATTGATACAAAACAGTTCTGTTGAAAAATGTTTCTGTTTGCAATCGCATAAAGTAAAGAATCAGGCTGAACTGATGTGGCCCTTTCATGGAACAAACTGTTTCGTGCTCATTTAATCGAGGCAGAAGCATGGGGATGCTGGTTTAAAACATGAAATAGTATGACTATAAAAAACATTTTAAAAAAACCATCAGAATAGTTTGAGCTTTTTCTCAACCAATATCCATCCATCCATCCATCCATCCATTATCTGTACACCGCTTAATCCTCACTAGGGTCGCGGGGGGCTGGAGCCTATCCCAGCTGACTTAGGGCGAAGGCAGGGGACACCCTGGACAGGTCACCAGTCTATCGCAGGGCTACACTTATCAATCACCAATTAACCTCAACATGTTTTTGGACTGTGTGGGAGGAAGCCGGAGAACCCGGAGAGAACCCACGCTGCACAGGGAGAACATGCAAACTCCATGCAGAAAGATCCCGGGCGTCTTCAACGGGACGGAAACCTTCTTGCTGCGAGGCAACGATGCTAACCACCGAGCCACCTTATAGCCCTCAACCAATATCAATCCATATAATTCTGAATAAAAAATGAGAAATGTCCCTCTTTCATCAGAAACTGAACTGCAATTAAGATTTAAGAAACTATTTCTAAATATAAATAATGTATTTGCCTTGTAAGCAGGATTCCTTCAAGTCTGATGTTTCAAAATGTAATGTAATTTTCAAAAATGCAGTGTACTAAGAAAATGTGAAAATGTGTGTGTTTTTAATGTACAGCTCAGTCGACAGTGAACATACAGATTTTGGGCCATTATGGTGAGAAGCTCCAGGGGCTGATGGGAGCCTTTGGGCCTCACTGTTCAAATGTTTGTGTTCGCCTCAGGTTGTCCTTCACACGCACAAACTCTGGGATCTTCTGCTCGTTCTCCCGCTGCCTGATCTCCTCCTGCTCATACTGAAAAAAACACATCAGGAAATCAACTCTAAGCCAGTCAGCAACACCCACAGTTCACCCTAGCAACATTTCCATCTCTAAATTTGACAAAGAACAAGTCTAAATGCTGTTCAGGAATGTTTATTTGACCTTCAAAGACCTCAGCTGGATAAAATTTTGAGAATATGTGGCCATAAACATGGATCCTCTTCAAATTATGTCAAACCTTTATGTTAACTCCAACAGTAAGGTCTGTGTTTGGAGCAAATATGTATTTGTACTTTATTGATCTGGTCATGTGAATCTGACCTCTTGGAGTTTCTGTTGCCTCTTCCTGAGCTCCGTCTCCAGATCTGAGGGCCGCCGTCGTGCCATCTCCTCCTCTTTGTGCAGCTCCAGCCTGCGCTGCTCCAACACTCGCTTCAGCTCCGGTTTCTCTTCCAGCAGCAAACCTCTGCACAGTCATAGTCACAGTTACACAAACCACCTGACCCGCTCTGTTTTAACTGCTGACGACATTAAGACCAAACTGTGGAGATGTTTTCTGTGTTTACCGTTTGTGGCTGAGCATCAGCTCACGGTGCAGGTTCTGGTAGCTCGGTGTCTCTGCTGAGGAGCCATTCAATTTCTTGGGATGAGTAATCTCATCACTGCTGCAGTCTGTTGTAGAGTGATGGGATAGAGGCAGGTCAACAACAGAGCTCTCTGACTTACCCGAATAAGCTCATATGATGATTTAATTCCTCAGATCTGATGAATTACTACTAAAATACCTAAATTGATATTTTTGAAATAGATAAATAGAAAAATGTTTGACTTTGCACAACCACTAACCATTAAATGACAACTGAGTGTTTAGACTATTGATTTGAGCTATCAAGGTTTTGGGTTACATTACCACAGTAGTTATTTTTTAAAATAGTTTTTATTGATATTATTTCATCATTATTATTATTATTATTATTATTATTATTATATTAATATCTATCGTATTGTTTTAAAATCTTTTATATAGTTTATATATATTTATTGCTTTTATATTTTTAAATATATTTATATTTTCTTTATACATTTTTAAAAATTTATTTGAAGAGAAATAAAAAATGTGTATCAAACAAGAGCTTGGGTATTAAGAGGTTGGTAATAATTTTAAAAAATAAATACGATAATCCCAGAAACACTGTAGATTTCATTGTAAACAAGAAAATCACAGCATTCATTCAGCAACACTGAAATATAATGTTATGGAAGCAGCTTTGTTTTTTTGTTTCATCTAATTCTATCAAACTATTTCTAATGTAACAATCAGATATTTAAATGATGGATCAATTTATCATTCAAGCAGATTCTTTGATTTAATTAACAGATAATTTAATTCATTTCATGACACTTCCATTAAATGAATATTTTAATCAACCACCATCTGAATGTGTGCTTTTTTAAACTTTAGAATGTATTTCTGTTTTTCATTCATTGATTGTGTTTTAAGTTACCTTTTTTGTGATGTCCATATCCCGGTTTCTGTGAAATTTGATAGATAAACAGAAGAATATATAACCTGTTAGTAATAACACAAGCAAACTGCTTCACAGCCACTAGCTGAGCCAAACCATGGTAATGTCAATGTACTGAGACAGGTTTGTCAAAACACCTTTATTTTGATCGTCCCCTGCCTCCTGCACAGCGAGTATAATTAGATAAAGGCTATAAAAGAAGACTGTGCCTGCTGTGCTGCTTAAGCAGGTGAGCTGTGTTTAACAAAGGTGACGTAACAGCTCGGTCAGAGAGGCTGTAATGTTGGACTGGCCTGAAGATGAAAAAAATGAATGTAATTCTGCTGGTAATGAAAAAGAAAATAATGCAACTATTTGAATTAACTTCATTCAAAACCCGATGGGATGAAACTTGGCTCCACGTGCTTGTAACACAACCAGACACCTGTGCCACACCCACTGAAACCAGATAACCAGGAGGCAAGGATCACAGTGAGCAGGCAGCAGATGGTAGATGTTGTTGTGGTTGCTCTGAGCAGCCTGTTGCAGACAAAGTCACGCCAGCTGATAAGTTTCTGTCAAAAACTGTCCTACAGCTCTGATCCTCAAGCTCTGCGTTTGAGATTGTGCTTTTTGTTCCTATCACGGACATTAAGCCTCCAGATCCTGCCTCTCCTTGGGCCCCCTGCAGGGAGGCTGAGCTGGGAAGTAGCTTGGCAGGTGTCTGACCTGATGGAAGCCATTGTTCCTGTCAAGGCCTGCAGGTCTGCGATGGATTACAGCAAAATCACTCCACCTGATTTCAGAACTCCTCAGCCCTGCCAACATAGACACTCATGTTCTTGCAAGCTGACTCTCTTACGAAGCACTCAGATAATAGTCAACAGTATTATACACACTGGATTTCAGTGTCTGACATAAGGTATAACATGGTTTCTTTTTTGGCCTCATTAATCAATGTATTGTTGTTACATGAACATTTTCAACTTCAAAATACTACTTTAAGAAGAAAATCCTAATCCTAACTCCTCAGCCTTGTTTTTCGAGCAGAAATTATCCTCGTCCTAAGATGACCCTCTTATGTAATTATTTTGATCATGTTAAAACCTGACTACCCGAAAAATTCGAACAATGTTTTCACATTACAATAGTGCTATTTTACAGGTGTACATGCACCATGTGGCCCCATCAATTCTTGGAAATTACATGGGTTATTCAAAAATAGACAATACATCTTGCATTTAATATCCCTGAATAATAATAAAAATCTTTAATGACAATACACACTTTACTAACTGAAGCAATTTCACACAACAGACTGCATGGGACTCTAATAAAAATCAGATTTTATAATGTTGACAGTATCGTGTAAGAAGGCATGAATTTATATCTTTAGTCACAGTTAAGTAATATAAAGAAGTACATAAAGTCTCCAGACAGAAATGAAAACTAACCTGATTGTAAACTTTCTGATGCTACACTTACAGCCTGTCCAAAAGTCAACTAAACTTCTGACAGATGGCCACCACACTAGACACTGACCTGCCCCTCATCAGACAGCAACAATAGCAATAACCAACCTGCCAAAACTCACCTTTTTTGCAGCTGACCCCTCCATGGCAGGACGGTGGAGGTCCGCTGTCTCTGTCCAGTCACAGTTTCCCTGTTTTAATCCATCGTTTCAAGAATCACACGTCTTCACTCAGCCTGTCTGTCGTCTGTTTTTTTGCATCTGAGGCCAACATGTTGTTGTTGACGAGGGTTTCGCAGACTCAATGTGCCGCCTAGCAGTGGTCAATAGTGGTAGTAGACACCCAAATCTTATTACGCCATTCAAGATTACCTCACAACCCCCCATGATGCACAGGACAGTGGATTAGTTAATCACCGCCGACACGAATGCAGCTTAAAGCCAAACCAGCACGGCACTATTGCCATGAAGCCAATCAATACTAACAGAGGCTCCAGCAACAAAGACTTTCCTGCAAACCAACACTGTTAATAGTGTGAAGCAGTCAGATTTTTCCCTCTAAGCTCATTGCTTCTTACTGCTAGGGGCTTACAGTATACTTGTAGCAGTCAGTTGCAGTATATGTCTATGTGTTTGCTACTATTTTAAGTAATTGTGTGATTCTTTACACAAATATAGAGTTGATGTGTTGATAATTAACATTTATTTAAAAAAAAAAAAAAAAGGACTCCTCAAAGGTCACGCTGCGTTTGTAGCTTGGTTTCTGTGGTTTCTGAGCAACACTCGACTCCCAACTCACAGTGACATGACCCTCATTTATGTCTTTGTTAATCTGAAATGACAATACAGATAAACATTTAAATGATATAATGTATATAGGATGTCCAGCCGAGGTTAAGGTTTGGAGGCCCATTCACTGGTTAGCCCTTCAAAACAACTAAAGAAATAAAAACAGACTGTCAGACTGTTTGTGTTTATGCACCATACAAGAATCTTGATGACTAAAAATAGGAGATAAAATTTATATATATATTTATATATATATAAGTTCTGATAAAACAATTTATTTGGGTACACATTAGTTTACAATTTTGCCATAAAATCTATTATTCCTTTAAGATTAAAAAAAAAGAAAAAAAAAGATTATTAATCCTATGTTTGATCAGTGAATCTCTGTGTCAGTGATTTTTCACTGATTTTGAATGTTATGTGAAACCTGTCTCTGACACTGAGTGCAGAATATTATAAACATGGCCTGTGGTATAGTTTCATTGTAATGTCACCTCGTTGTGGGGTTTCACTACATTTCTAGTACATTTAGAGTGAATTGGGGTAAGATGTGGCCCTGAGGTAAGAAGCCACCCTCCACATTTTTCCCCTCCTGGCCTCCTGACCACTAGATAAAGCCATTTCTCATTTTAAAATTCAAAAGAAGTGGTTCTGAGGTTAGTTGATGTAACATTTTGAGAGCACAAAATAAGCTTCTGCAATTTCTTAGTTTATTTATAAAGTTTTATCCTGTTTTATTTATTGTTTATTTATTTATTTATAGACGTACTTAAATGTAAAAGTGCAATTTCTTCATTCATTGCAGGAAATATGATGTAAAACGAAGAAATAAGTTGTGTGTTTTGGCCACATGGGGTCGACATACTTTCGCTGTCTGCTTTTAATGTCCCATGATTCCTTGCGGCTTTTTGCTTTAAAGCGGACCCGGAAGAGGTTTGTCCCTCAGATTGAATGGCTGATGTGTGTGCTGCGTGTGTGTGTGATTGTTTGGGACTGTTTGAGTGAGTGAATGTGGGTGTTTGTGTGCGTGTTTCTTTATAAAACCTACACAGTGATCTTATTTGATCTGCTCAGAGTTTAGCTCCGCTCTGATCAGAAATGATAGGAAAACCGCTCTCGAGCCTCCGCGGCGATGAGCAGCTGGCGAGATTGAACCTTCGGGGCCTCCACGCTTCGTGCTGTGGTCAGAGGTGATGAATTGATCAGATATACTAGTTCTGGGTGAGTTTGGGTTCATCTCAAACCTCACTGTGGACAATGAGTAAAGGAGCGATTCTGATCTTACCACAGCCGAGAAGCAGCAGGAGCCCTGGACGGAGATATCTGCTCAGTTTAAACCGTGTTACTGTTTAGCACTGCGATTTTTTTTAGGGGGTCGTTTCCCCTCATTACTGAGTAAATACCAAACTGTCCCCCCAGGTATACCGTAGACGATTTCTCCTCCTTTTTTGAAGCTCGTCGATGGATATGTCGGTTGTTTTTTTTCAACTAGTTTTCAAAAGTGTTTCCTTTTGTTCAGGAAAATTTAAATGCAAGACACCCCCTCCCAGTTGAACACTTGGTTGCGCCCAAGACGTAACTGACTTGCCATCAGCTTCTCTGTCCAGTGTTCATTTCAGGTATAAGATGGGGACAATCCAAGGCAAAGTTGCCCTCATATTTTTTTAATTGTCATCTTGGAAACAACTTGTAACGTTGCGCATATAGTGACAATAAAGAGACCATATTCACACCAGTGTTCATGGTCCTACAAGTGAGTACACAAACAATCAAAATAGCAAAAATCTGGAACCTTGGCTTGCAACACATCAAATTCTGCTGATGTTAGAGACTCAAAAAGTTTGTGAATTTTCCACCCAAAAAATGTTTTTTAACAAGGAAATTTGAATAAATCCATACATAAACATGTGCACACATTTTCTTGGACCCCAGTAGTACCTGTATTAGATTAAATCTGTAGTTTTTTTCCCTATTGTTTAGGGCAATTTATTTATTTTTTAAAAATTCTGTTGTAGCTATTTAATCATGTGGATCTGCTGGAACCAATTTTGTCTTTGTGTCCTCAGCTGAAAAATGTAAGTGTGAGACAACCCCTCCTAGCTATAGACTTGGTTGTGCCCACAAGGTAACTGTGAACAAAGAGCAGTTTGGGCCTTTTCAGAGGAGGCTGAACCTTCAGGGCTGCATTTATAGTCGTTGTAGGACAGATAAAATGACGAGCATTTATTAACTCCATAGGGGAGCTAGCAGTTATTACATAACAAACTGACATGTCAGTCAGAATACAGCTATTGTTGTGACTCGGGTGGATCTGAAACGCGTCAGATTAATGTCTGAGAAAATAATGTGGTTCAGGTTTTGTTGAATGTAATTCAGGATTTTGCAGAAACTTTAATACATTTACTGAAGCCCTGTTTGATTCTTTTCTTTGACTTAAATAGCTGCCGTAGCAGACAGACATTATGAGTGAATCTTTAACATGGGAGTGATGTGCATAGTAATTTCTTCAGGTGATGAAATAGGTACATTGTTTGATGAGGATGTCAGCAGTTGTTTTTAGGAAATAAATACTTAGTTTTAATGTTTGTTATTATAGTTAAAAGTAAAGAAGTATTGTATTTTTGTGTATTTCTTGTGTTTGATTATTTTAGGGTAACCCTTATGTTGGTTGGCCTGTGGGGCTGATTAGGGGCTGCCTACAAAAAAGCTGGCAGTTGAGGGAGCACAAGAAGAGAGGGAAGGAGCGCTACAATATATGCCACCAGCTAACCGCCTGGCTTTGTTTTTTTTTTTTTGCTTTGCTATTTGTGTCTCATTTTTGTAATGTGTCGGTGAATAAACACCCAGTTGGTCTGCAGCTTATCTCGCCTCAAGTGTCCTGCTTTATCCAACCGCAAAACGGTCATCCTAACAGTCAGTTTAGTCAATTTTAGTGTTTTATCAGAGAATCTGTAAAAATAGGCACACTTAATAGAAATGGTATTTGCTGTGTGAAATGACACCTTAATTCTTAAAGACATAATATTTTACAATGCTGTAGAAGATTTTTTTTTTTTTTTTTTAAGGCAAGCTGGCCCACTTCTCTTTTAAAATACAGCAGGGTTAAAAAATAAAAATGTCCATATGTGCTTAATATACACTGGAAGACACATGATGAGAGCTTCTCCATCTTGAAACTGCAGTGTGATGACAGCCTCCGAAACATGGATTCACTTTTGGGCTTTCAGATGTGACAAACCTGGATCGGAGAGGGACTTTAAATACCTCCCTTGTACTCTTTCAGAACCTACGATTACTCTGAGGTGCATCCTGGACCAAATCTGAACAGGATTTTCGGAGCCAATAGAACTGGCAGGTCTAGCTTTTGTGTGAGCCATCTGTCTGGGTTTGGCTGGAAAAACTGCAGTTCTGGGCAGAGGTGACCGTGTAATCAGCAGAAGAACACAGCCACTGCTTGATGTGCTCCTTTGGTGGATTTTTCATTCCAAATGAGCAGCGAGTAAAGTTAAAGGAGTGATTTAAGGTCAACAGATAGGACAGTATGAAACTGATGATATGCGTGCTGTTGTATAATTTGGCCTCTATGTTAAATGGGTCTAACATAAAAGTTTTACTGAGACTAAACTAAGTTATGTAAAATATATTGCACACAGTCAGTTTACTAATGCAAAGTTTTATATATAAAAAGTGTTGCATGTTTTCACAAATTCCTGAAGAATCTGTTTGGAGGTAAAGCATTAACCCATATTCCAGCTTAAAATTTTCTGAATTCTTTATATCTGATTGTATGTTCAAAGTAAGATCCATGAGGAGAATAATCAGTCGCTCTGGATGCTGAAACACTGCAACCAGAAAACAATGGTGGAGGAGGTCACAGCTCTTTGTACCAAAGTCAACAACCTTAAGTTTCTACCTCAGTTGTGTTCATGTCACTGCAATAAAAACTGTACAGAAGAAGAGTAATAGCTGCAGAAATATACTGTGGAGTTCCTCGCTGTTTTCCTTTCTTTTATGTTGTTGTGGCTGGTTTTTCCCTACAGAAAAAAATTTGCCAAGGTGTCCGAAATCAAGCTGCTGGAGGCGACTGAGAAGTCAGTGGGACAACCAGAAATGTCCGAGTACCACTGGGAGCTGAAAAACTTCTGCAACAAAGAACAAGAAAAGGGGAAAATGTAAAGTTTCTATATGAAAATACTTTATTCATCCCAGAAGGGAAATTCAATGAATTTCAATGAATTCAAAAAATTCAATTATATGCAGCAGGTCATGAGTTGCAGCTTCTCGAAGTTTTTTAAAAAATATTTATTTATGTCACATTCAATCATTGGCATTGAATTACACAGGTAAGACAATTTGAC